AAAAAATTTAAACGTAGAATGCCAATTTTTATATATTATACTCGTGTGAAGTTAATGTTATTACAATCTATAATTGTATTCGACGATTCTTTTTTAGTTAAAAATTTATTAAGCAAAATGTCATCATCGACATGTAGTTCCCGATGAATGCTCATTAAAGCAAGACCAGTAAGTCTCGTTTGTCCAGTACTATTTCTTAAATAGGTTTTTAATCTTTTTAATGTTGAGAAGCTGCGTTCGACTGTTGCTGTAGAAATCGCTAAAGTTGCTAATATTTGCAGTAGTGTGTGCAAATTGGGCAAAAGTCATTGTCGGATCTTTATTGTATAAAAATATTAGATTTTATTTCCACGGAAATAAAATAACTATAATAAATAATAGTCGGAAACTATATTAAACTATAATAAAATAAGTCGGAAAAAATATAAACTTCTCTCTCTCGATGAACTGTAAAGGTAGTAAAAGATTTTGACGACTGGACTACGAAGGAAAGCGAGGCATACGTTTCTTAGTGAAGCATATTAAATGCGTGAAACAGCATATATGACAGAAATTCACTTTTGTGATCAGCTATGAAATTATTAAAATTATTAAGAATTTCGGGGGGGGCTGCAGCCCCCACAGCCCCCCCCCTGGCTACGCCACTGTGAAAAGTAGAGGGTAAAGATTCTACTCATTCTACCACCACGCGAACCATATGGCCACAAGGGGGAGCTTCCCGGTGCCACTACCATCTACTACTACTACTACCACCACGTACCACGATACCATTCCCACCACATGCAGTAGACCACGTGATTCCATCGTTTAGTTTCGTGCGTGCTATCCCATGTGTTGGCATACGTATATAATTCTAAAGATACGCAAAGTTTAGAATTAATATAATAAAGATGTCGATAAACGAAGTGGATTTAGAGGAAGAAGAATCGAAATCGAAACTTTTTCACGAGCTAGAGCTGGATGACAGAATATTGAAGGTAAATCTGCTTTGATAAATTCTTATATTTAGGTTAGAAATTTTCCTGCATAGTTTTTATAAAGCTATGTTTAGTTTATAAATTGTGTGTGTGTGTGCTGTGGTTGCTATTTAACTGTAGAAGAGTAAATAAATTGTGTATTCTTTCCTGTTTTACAATAATAATTAAACAATGACAAAAAATTAAAAAACTCATAATGCAAGTAATAGTATATTAATGCGTTACATTTGATTTTAATCAGGCTATTGCAAAATTAGGCTGGATGGAGCCTACTTTGATACAAGAAACAGCAATACCCTTGTTACTGGAGGGAAAGGATGTTTTAATCAGGGCTCGTACAGGTTCCGGAAAGACTGCTGCATTTGCAGTGCCACTTATTCAGAAAATATTAGTAAACAAGCGAAGACAACAGAAGCAGGAGATTAAGGGCCTGATTGTTACACCTAGCAAAGAACTGTGCAAGCAAATTCACGATGTCATTGTTAGCTTAACTATAAAATGCTGTAGAGAAGTCAGAGTAATTGACATCAGTGCGCAAACAGATCTAGATGCACAGAAACCATTACTGAATGAAATGCCAGATATTGTTGTGAGTACACCAGGTCGATTATTGCTGCATCTGAAGGCGGGAAATTTGACGCTGAAACGTAGTCTGGAAACGTTAATAATAGATGAGGCTGATTTGGTATGTACCTCTGTTACGGAATTAATTTTTTTGTATGAGCAGCATTTAAATTGTCATTTTTTTCAGCTATTTTCATTTGGATATGAGAAAGATATTAAAGCTGTGTTATCTTATCTACCAACGACATATCAAGCAGTTTTAGCATCCGCCACGTTGTCTGAGGATGTTCAAGCTTTGAAAAAATTGGTTCTCCACAATCCCGCGATCTTAAAACTAGAGGAACCACCTTTAGCCCCTCCAACTCAATTGGCTCATTATACTCTGGCTGCAGAGGAGAAAGATAAGGCTGCCATTTTGTATGCCTTGTTGAAATTATATTTAATTAGGTAATATTTTAGACGCATGTACTGAAAACTACACAACTCTTAAATACAAAACAATATTTACTAACCAAATATATTATTTTTTTAAGGGGAAAATCCATAATATTCGTTAATACAGTGGATAGATGTTATAAATTGAAGCTGTTCCTAGAGCAGTTTGGTATTCCTACTTGTGTTTTAAATTCCGAGCTACCGGCGACCTCGAGATGTAGAGCAGTCTCACAGTTCAACAGCGGCACTTACGATATCATAATAGCGTCAGACGAGAAAGCATTAGAAGAGGTAAGGTCGTATGCATTTTTTTTATACAATGAAATACTAGTAATTTCATTTTTCTTATTTCTTACAGCCGCATATGATCCAAATGAAAAGGGGCAAACGAAAAAAAGACAAGGAATCGGGTGTAGCGCGCGGCATTGATTTTCAATTCGTATCTAATGTCATCAATTTCGATTTTCCGTTGGATATAAACTCTTACATACACAGAGCAGGACGCACTGCTCGCGGGAAGAATCAGGGAACCGCCCTTAGTTTCGTATCGCTCAGGGAAAGACCATTGATGGAGGAAGTTGAGAAACAATTGAAGCACACGTACAACCGTGAGAGTTTATTTAGAACTTATCAATTTAAACTGGAAGAAGTGGAGGGTTTTCGGTCAGTATTATGCGATTTTTTAAATTTTAATTATATCGTTAAAGATTATAAATGATAAAATAATGCAATATTTATATTTTTAGTTGCACAATGTTCTGCTTCTCGTATAACATTATTTTCTGTACTAATTATAATAATTTCAGGTATCGCGCGAAAGACGCCTGGAAGGCTGTTACGAGGATCGCTGTAAGGGAGGCACGATTAAAAGAAATCAAACAGGAAGTCATGAACTGTGAGAAACTCAAAAGTTACTTCGCGGATAATCCGCGAGACTTTCAGTCATTACGTCAAGATAAGGCCTTGCATACTGTGAAACTGCAACCGCATTTAAAATACGTGCCTGACTATATAGTGCCACCGACTTTGAAGAGAACTCTGGGAATAGGTGGAAGAAAGAGAAAGTTTGATAGAAATGCTGCCTCATCGGGAGCAACAGCTGCCAAATCGAGACATCAGGCTCGCGCGTCAAATCCATTGATCAGTTTACGTATAGCAACCAATAAATAATTCTTTATAAATTAATCGATCGCCCATTGTTACGTATGTCTTACGCATTTTTTATTACATATAATAGTTTACAAAATTATGTCTCTTTTGTCTGTTTGTAAAAAAAGAATAATCAAAATTTATATATTTGAGAATTTATTTCGTCAGTACTAACCCAACTATGGGCATCAAATAGGATTATTTTTTCGCAGTTCTCTCTGGTTTATACTTTTCTCGTACACCATCATTGAAGCCCTCTCTATTCCTTGCAAGCTCTATAGCGTAAAATTGTATCCTAGTTGTTAATATGCTATTCTCTTCTGAGTAATCTCCAGTACAGTCTGCTCTCAATAATGTTCCAAAACTATAATCCTCTACAATATCCTTAAACTGTTCGCAGAAGGGTCTCCATTTTGCCTTCCCTTCTGGAGATTTTAGTTCATTTTCATCTATTTTGTCCACCTTCATATTAGGGAAAGTATCTTTGAATGCCTTGTAGATCTGTTCATCATGAGGTGTAAGTCTCAGAAGCTTTGGATCAACTGAACACAAAATCTAAGGCACAAAAATATTTCTGTCACTTTTATTATTCATTTATTCGATAAATACTTCTTAAAATGCTGTAAAACTTACATTAAAATAAACCTCTGCATGATCCATAGCTTTTATCGCCCACACTGCCTCCAAAGATGGCTAAAATAATAACAGAATTAGAGGAAAGGAGATGTGAGATTTTTTTTATATGAAGCTGACAAATTCTTTTATAACATAGCGACAAATATTATTTAGGCATTTTACTTACCTCATTGCCAAATTCGTCAGCGGGTCTTGACAGAACGCTGGAGCCAGCAAGGAGTTGATCTGCTGTCTAAATAGGTGTGATTAGCTAGGTTATCATCAAGATTCTGCCTCTAAAAGATAAGAAATTCACTTACCACGTTCCCGATTTGTGCCATTGTGCGCCGCAGAGTTCTTAAAAGATTATCTAACCATACAAATGTGAGTATTTTATAAATCTCGCAGAGACTACCACAGATTATTCAAAACTGGATGCAGGTTATAATATTAACATAGTAGTATAAGACACGTGAAAACCATAATAAACATATTCATTATCCACGGCCAAAAGACGCTTCAACGCGTCCCACGAATTTTTCATGATGTCGCCATCTAGCGATGGCGCTCCACAAACATTTAAATGTCTCACCAATTAGAAGCGCTTATTGTTTACAACGAAACCTCGAAGCAAGTTGCGATTCTGAACGCGGAGGGAGGAACATAATTATTTCGTTCTTTCTCTTTCCGGAGTGAATTACAATTTTCACCATATGTTCACTCTGCCATTAAGAAATAATTGCAGAAGCAGGAAGAAAACTTCGCAATAAGTGTCAATAATTACGCTCCTTTTAGCCAGGATTTACAATAATTGTAATCATTTCATGGATATTCTAATATTAATAGAAAAGTCCTTGTATCCCATCATTCATGACCTTATCATTGATCAATGATAAGAGTCATAAGGATCTTGTCTCTTTGCACCACACATTGCTGTTTGTTGAAAGCGATTATCGATTAACTGATATTTGAGGAATACGTAACCTATCAATGCCTGTCAGAAGGAGTTTGCTTGCGATCTGGAAAATACAATCGAGAAACTATTATTTCAGGTAAAATAGACGTGATAATAATCGATAATGTGATCGAGTTCTCACGAAATTTCTTCTTTCTTGCAGCGTGAAGTCTTTCTTTACATGGACATCTGATAGCGGACGTTTTGTACGCGCGTAAGTACATGGCTTTTTAAGTAATGGAACAAAGACTTCGACTGATTACACGTTGCAATATTGGACATAATATAAGAGTCACGCGGCGATCCATAAAAGAAATTATAAACATCAGATAAGACATCAAGAGGAGACGAGGCGTCTCCCCAAACACATGATTCCTTCCTCCGGTTTTTTCCTTGAAATGTGGAATTAGCTAATTTCGAGTGAAGGTGCCACGAATGTGAGCACAGCGTTCTCTTTCTTGGCGATTTCATGGTGGTTCGCCAGTTGCACTTGTGATTCGCTCAAAAGAACACGATTTCACCTGCTTTGCGAGAAGCAAGCTGATCGACTTGTTTCTTTTAAAGAATCATATGTTCTCTCCCGTTATCGGCAACCGCTTCGGCAAGCAATACCGCGTTATCTCTCACGTTTAACTAGCGTGAGGAAGTTATGAAATTTATTGGCAAGAGCTCGGGAAAGTGGTCGCTGTAATTCATGACTAGTCACTTGGGTTGTCTCAGTCGACTCTTCGCGATGGGCAACGAACATTCTAAAGACCAAGATAACAGAATGTAAGTGCTTGTTTAAAGTCCTTTTGATTACAGATACGTCTTTGCATATATTGCTAGAGGAGGTGTAATTATTTGAAAATCAATAACTGTTACTGGCAATTAGTTTGGTAATGTGCACAGCACGTAATATTAATTCAATTATTTTTTATCGATTTGACGCAAATACCTTACAGCGCAGATAGTGAATAATTAGTTTTTTAACACTTGTTTTTTTAATACTCTAAATAATTAAATTCTAATAATTAATTTTTTAACGATTTTGAAAATTATGTTATTTAGTATTAAATTTTACTAATTCTACAGTTTATCTAGACAACACGCGTGTTTAAAAGATATCACATTTCTTTCAAATATTTTTCAGACAACTTTGAGATATCTTTTTTTACACGCGTGTTATTCGGATATCAAATGCGAAACATCTATAATAGAATATCTTATTTCTAACATTTCTATGTTAATATTTGACGTGTGTTATAACACCCTTTACGCAATAAGAATGAAAGGACGAAGACACGATTGTAGATCAGAGTTAACATCACATAATCGATGCGATGTTAAGTCTGCATTACGTGTCGCACTGATAACTCATTGCAAAGATAATCAGCTTGCACACTGTGTCCACGCATGAGACACACTCTTTCGTATCAGTCAGTCTGTCTCCCATTTTCGCGTTTTAAGCCGAGGGGAAAGTCAATAATAAATTCGTGACGTATGTGCGTGTATATGAAACGGTCATCTTCCCCGCCACGCTCGCCGACGGCGAAGATAAGACAGTCGCGCGAAGCGTTAGTCTATATAAAGCATGTCCTCGAAGCGGTTCCTGAAACCAATCGGCTGCAATTTGACGGGCTTCCTCCGTCGATCGAGCGGCTTGCGTTACGCCAGCCTTGAACCTGAAAACTGTCGTCAGCAACAGCTTTTGTGCAGCGACAGGTAAATCGTTTGCTGCGTGTAAATTGAATCCCGCCGAACACTGTCCGCGCGTGCAACGTGTAAAACGCTTTGCGTCATCCGCTTTTTGTTGAATTTCGCTGAAGAAACATCGACTTCATCGCGTGAGGTCTTTTTACACAAATTGACTGCGCGAATTGCAATTTATTTACAAATTTGATTTTTGCATTAATATGGATGCTTCGATTAAAGAGAACGTTTTCGATGGCTATTGATTGTTGTTGAGAATGTTAATGCATTTACGATTCAATTATCATATAAATTCAATTAAAGCATTTTAATCTATGCTATTTCAACAAACAAACAAGTATAGTACTCAGTTTTATTAATAGTAGAGAAATATCGTGTATATATAGCGTGTATATATAGCGATTCACAATGTATTCAGATAAGATATTGTAAAAATACGAAACTACACTATCCAATAATCGATTTTTCTTTTCGTTATCTGTCTTAGAATTTTAAAATGTTTCTCACATTTTCCTTTGTTTTTCCAGTATTTTTCAACTTCTCTTCCGTATTCCTTATTTTTCCCTGTTTTTTTTCCAACATAATTAACATTTTTTCTAGTTGATGCAAAGAAATGCGTGTTAGAAACAACTATACCTGTGGCTACATATACATGTATATATATATATATTTGTATGATATAATACTTCAATAATTTTACAACTAACCGGAAACAATGCACAGTCACGAT